CGTATCACCGACACAGGGTGGGGGCCCAGGACTCAGTGATTGAAGCCCCGCTTTGCTAACACAGCCTAACCCCAGAGCCTGAGTGTCTGGAGACGCCTGGATGGTGCTCTCCCGCCGTCACCCCCCCATCCTAATGCTCCGGGATGTACTAAGTCCGCGGCCACGATCCGCACCCGCAGGAGCGCTTCAGGGTCCCTACCTCCGCGCAGTTTCTGGAAAAAGGGAAAGGGGCGTTCTCCGCCTGAGGAAGGGCATATTTCCTCTGCTTGCTCTAGTTGGGGTTAGTGATCTCAACTCTACCTTCTAAAGTGGGGTGGTCAGCTGAGAGGAGGAGGGACTTTTGAGGGGCCTAGAGCTTCTCTAAGCCCTCTTGAGGACTTTGCGTTGAGCAAGGCGCAGAGCTAAGGGAATGCTCAAGGCTGAGAGGGAGAAAAGTTTCTCTCAGTCCTCGGCCTCAGCCTCTAGGGATGGCGACGGTTAAAATGGGACGTTTCCCTTCCACGCTAGTTCCCCGTGCATCCTCTCGCGCACCTGGTTCATTAGGGATCGCGAACCCTGCGCCCTAGGATTTTCTGCAATCCGGGTGCACACTGTCTGGAGGTGTGCTGCAGGCTTGAGACTTGGTCTTGGTCTGGGAAAGCGTGCTCTTAAAATTAATGCCGAGGACAGTGGGATGCAGCCCCGAGTCCAGGGAAAAAGTGAATAGCGAGATGTAACACATGGAATTAGGGCAGACATTGGATTCGGGGACAAAACTCCGCGTCTGGAGCACTAAGAAAACATAAAATCCGTGTCCAGTGGAAATTAAAAACCTGGTTGAAGATGGGGGCTGCTCCTCGGCCCGCATTCTCACTACCCTCATAGAGGTTCCGAGTCCTTGTACTCCTCTGTACGCGCCCCTTCTTTGCTCTCCGGTCGGCCAGCGATTGGCGGCCGCCAGAGTCCCAGCAGCAGCTAGGTGTCAGGCGAAGCCCAGAGCGCGGAGCGCGGGGAAGGGAGGGGAGGGCGGGCGGGCGGGAAGGGGCGGGGAGCGCGCTCCTGCGGCGGCGGCGGCGGCGGCGGCAGTCCTCATCCCGGTGGCCCAGCGCTAGAGCGGACGCGGGGCTTCGCAAATGGCTTGTCCCGCCCTCAATCTGGAAGCTCTTCAGCCTCTGCAGCCCGAGCCGCCCCCCGAGCCGGCCTTCTCTGAGGCGCAGAAGTGGATCGAGGTAGGTGACCTCGGCTGGCGGGCGGCCTTCCAGGGGCTCCCGGACCCACTGACCCGCGCGTGCTGGGACTGCGGGTCCAGCCGCGCCTCTCCTGTGTTTCTTTTGCCAGTTGCTCGGATCACCCGCCCGGGCCCTTCTGGCGATTTGGTATTGAAGACCCGGGCCGAGGTGGGCGCGAATGGGGGGCACTGCAGTCTAGCTGTGCGCGTGAGGACAGGAAGCGGTCCCCTGCACCTCCATCTCTCCTGCCGGCCCGCGGTGCAAATCTCAGCTCCCGCGGCTTCCAGGCGCTGCCGGAGGACGCGCAGTCAGAGCAGAAGCGCTGCAAGGGCGCAGGAAGCGTGAACCCCCAGAGTACTTGCTGGCGCCGCATTGTAGGGCGTCCCCCGGTCCCACATTCCGCCTCTTGGCCCCCTCTCCACCCCTCTGGAGCGGAGTTGGCAGAGTCTGCACCGAGGCGCCTACCCACTGGAGCTTCTTGCGGTATTCCTGGCAAGCGTCAGGTGTGAGGCTGGCCCAGCACACAAGGCCAGGGGAGCTTGCGAGACCCACCTGCGAGCGCGCCATCCGCATAGACACTGCCCAGCCATTGGCAGTCCTTTCTCCATCCTAGAGGCCTCAGGGTAGGCTCCGTGGTACCTGGCCTTTTTTGGCATAAGTCACTTCTTAAGTGACTCGGTGGCAGGCCAGGGAAATCACTGGAGCTCTCGGATCAGTCCAGGAAGCTCTGTCTGGGTGATCCTGATTCACGATGCCTATCTGTAGATGCACCTCGCTTGCCCTGCGCTCCCGAAATGACGTGTCTCCCGGGGTCAGGACTCCTGGAGGGCATGAGGGCGAAAGGTGAGCCTCTCTTCCGGTGCGAGAAACCTCTGCTTCGCTGGGCGGCCTTTCTTGAATCTTAGCGAAAGATGAATTTGACCCGTTCTCCCAGTGACAGCCCTCCTTGCCTGTAAGTTCAAAGGAGGAAGTGTACGGCTAAGTCAGTATTAGGAAATGGGGAAGCCTCTTAGTACTTAGTACTCAGACTGCCACTTAGTGACACCCCCCTGTGGCACCACAGATCTCAAGATGTTGCTGAGCTAATGCGGCGAGGGTGCTACTGATTTTAAACCTGCTGAGGCGCCTGCTGAAATCACCCTCGATGCTGCAGCCAGAGGCCTGGCACCCTAAGGGTTAACTGGCTTCATGCAAGCTAGGATGTTACTTAGAGTTTGTGAGACATCTATTTAAAACTAGGGTTAACGAATCAGAAGTGTTAACTGGAAGCTTATTTCTAAACGCCCCAAGCCAGTCTTTGATAATTTGATAGCTCGAGACCAGATGAGAAAAAGACCTTACTCTGTATTTCTGATATGTGGCTGGCACAGTTTGGGTTGTGACAGGTGCTCTCTCTCTGCTGCATACTGGGACTCAAAGGATACACAGGAGACATTTGTGGACACTGGCTTAGCGAGGGGTTGGATAACTATTTGTCAGATTTTGGAACTTTAAGTTCTCAGGGGGAGATTTTGGAGGTGGATGGGGGATAGGGGAGAATGTACCAGGAGAGAAATTTTAATATTCTTGATGGCAAGTGATTTATTCCCACTGTTCTTAATTGTGAGGGGGTTGGCAGAGTTCACTTGAAACAATGTATTCTGAAGTGTTACATACCACAAAGTGCACAAATCTTAAGTGTTCACCTCCATGAATTTCGACATGTATATCCTACCATACCCCAGCACCCAGATCAAGATATAAAACATTTCTTTCAGCCCAGATGATTGTAGTCTGCTTTTAAGTGGTAGTATATTCCAGGTCAAATATTATGCAGTACAAACAGCCTAGTTCCACAGGTTATTTTTTTAAAGAAGTTCTTTTAGAAAGTAGCTCTGTTAGGGCCTGTAGTCAGCCGTCCATTATTATCCTTGATACTTTACCATTTCTACCAATTAAAAAAATGTTAAAACTGTAATGGGGCGTGTGTGCTATAGGACTAGGCAGCCGTGCGACGGCCGAGTGCATTATTAAAGCGGCCTATCCCCTTTCAATTGTGGAGTTCAGTTTCTCGGAAAGGAGAGCTTCCCCTCTCAGACTATATAAAAAGATACTTGCTCCTGGGAAAAATAAAGACTGCCCCCCCCCTTCCCGTAGGTTCCTCTTGAAATGTAAATGCTGTGTCTGCAAACTTGGGGAACCCGGGAGTTGTAACAGATGGTTTGTGCCTAGTTGCCCTGTGAACAAAGATTTCTTGGTTAATATAGCAATAAGGTAGTACTTAGTGCGTGCTAAATTCCCATGGGGATTGTTATCTTGAGACAATTGCACCTCCTTTAGGGGCCGCTTTGTCTTTCAGCAACATCCTCATTGGTAGGGCTTTGTTTTCCACTTGTGTTCAGTGGTGATTAAATTTCCCAAAGGCTGTTTTTTTTTTTTTTTTTTTTTCCTTCTTCTTTTTGAGTAGTCAGGAATTTTACCCTTTCAGAAAAATGCTCCCTCGGGTGCAGCAGGTTAATAAACAAACTTTACTGTTGGTCTCTTCTCCTCAATTCTTGGCCTTCCTGGAGTTGTGGATTGGTCAAAAAAACGTTCATTCTTAATAAAGGCTCAAAGAACAAGCTCTGGGAGATAACTTGTTAGTGAGGAATTTCTCGGCCTGCAGCCTTGGCTATTTGAGGACTGTTACTGGGCAGGAAATATGGCCTGGGAACGGAGCTCCCACCCCACTCTACCCCTAACTTCTGCCATAGCTGGCAAAGGTGAAAGCCCCAATGGAGTTTTAGGCTCACTCTGGTCACCGACCTGTGGGAACAGATCATGTTGCTTGATAACACTTCCAGTGACTTTTTATAGCTGTAGGAGCAGGCTGCCTGTCTTAATGTGGGTTTGGGGAGATTCCTAAAGTAAACAGCAAATTTTAAGAATTAACTGACTACTAATAGGTAAGGGAGGAGCTCTGGTAGCATAGTGGCTAAGGCACTTGACTGCTAACCAGAAGGCTGGCGGTTCAAACCCACCAGCCACATCACCCGCCCGGGCCCTTCTGGCGATTTGGTAT